GGAGACGGAGCAACATGTTGCTAGCATAGCGGCTAATGGCTAGCATAGCAGTTTGACCAGTTATATTGATTTAAAGATATAAAGTCATCTTGTATCTTGTTTAAAAATGATGTCGATATTTTAAAGATATCGATACGTCGCCCAGCCCTAACTTTGGCCAAAATGACTGAACAAACGCATCAGGTTACCTTTACACTGGTTGGTGAGCCTAATGCAGGCCTGAATCAGCCTATGGCAGCAATAACTGCTAAAAATGGACATTTAATGTGTTTATTTTAAAAGTTTAAAAAGTAAACTGTTAAGTCACCCACTGCATTCAGAGATCAGACGTTATAGTGATGAGGTGTGGGTGACCGACATTATGGAGGGGATAGAGGTGAATTCCAAAGGTTCAGAGACGCCTGCGCCAACTCGTCCTCGGTCTTTGGGCAGCAGAATGCAGAAATGCCATTAAAACCTCAGGCGGACATTAAGTTTTCAGCTGCTCCTTCCCCTTGGGTTGCTGAACGTCACCACTGCAGCTTCAACCAAGGATGTTTCCACTATGAGCTGCACACACATCAGTAGTAGCTGCATGCTGATACTCCTGACAACATTCTCTACTGGGAGCAGAAATGTTCAAATCACACTAAAGGTTCCTAAGATGACTAACAAACATTTCTTGTCCTGGCGAAGGCCTGTGTGGCTGAAACTGGTAGACATGTTTTTATTTGATTAGCCATGGAACATTAAAGGCTTTTAAACCATTTTCCTGAGGTCCTCAAATCCTTTTTTTTTTTTTTTTGTAATGCACTAAAGGTTTAAGCAATGGTGCCATTGTGACAGGAAACTGTACAGAACTAAAGGTGTACTTGAGCTGGGTTGGGGTGGTGTTAGGGAAACCCCTAAGTGAGGGCTTTTCTGTTTTACCCAATCAGCTGCAGCCTAGAGCGGGGTACATGTGCAATCTTAGCAGTCAGCAGGAGAGCCTCTGCAACAATAACTCCACATTCAGTATTGATGGCTTGTGTCTAAACACACACACACACACACACACACACACACACACACACACACACACACACACACACACACACACACACACACACACACACACACACACACACACACACACACACACACACACACACACACACACACACATCTGCTCTGTGACTTCATCTGTTCATCTATCTGCAGAGCAGATGCAAAAGTCTGCCAGGCAATTACGCTGGCTGAGACGCGTTTCTCTGAGGCCTCTGTGGAACCAGCAGCTGGTCCTCTCTGGGTTTGTGGCTCAGCAACTAAATGTGTGAACAAGAACATCAAAAATGTACTTTAAGTTCTCATGTCTGTGGGATATAAGTTTCTATGCACATGTCACCGTGTGCACTCATTAGCATCTCTTCAGTTCACAGAAAAATAGCGCCAGTTAAAAAAAGGCAACTGGTCATTTCTGTTTTCATTACAGACTTTTGCTGCTTTGCTGTAGCTGTTGCTGCAAATTCATGTTTCGGATGGGAATCAACAAATAACCACCAGATTGTCACTCAGCGTTAACTATCCATTGCACAAGATCTAACAGAACTCAAACACTTTCACAAGAATGTCTCAGGATGTTCAGTAGACAATGAACAGAAGAAGAGCAATAAAACCAGAAAAGCAGAAGGCAGAGCCAGAGAAAGGGCATGAATGAAGAAAAGAGCGGGAGAGCTGGCACAGATTTGCACAGGCATGGACACTTTTGTTGCTCTTATAGGGGATCCCTGTGGAGTCCCTCAAGCTGAGATCAAAGAGCTGTTTGACAGGCTCCTGATCTCCTAACCTGTCCGTATAAATCAAGAAGAAACTTCTTAGCGACCACAGATAATTCTGAATGTTTCAGACGATATGCATAAAGGCGGATGAGCGGGAGTCGGCTGGTCTTCGTCATCACTCGTCTTCTCTGTTACAAGGTCAGAGAGAGGATGAGAGAAACGAGACAACATCGTTATCACCGTGGGACCAGCAGATCTACACACGCAGAGGAAAAGGCTTCCAGGCTGATAAATGCTGGACCTTTTCATAACTGGAATTTATCGATCCAGTGGATTTAAACGGTTGAATTGAGAAGGTTGGATTGATTACATGTTCAAAAGTTAAAAAGCTTGTTTGTTGTTTATACCAACGTTACACCTGAATCTCATGATAATAAGCATCAACGTTACACCTGAATCTCATGATAATAAGCATCAACGTTACACCTGAATCTCATGATAATAAGCATCAACGTTACACCTGAATCTCATGATAATAAGCATCAACGTTACACCTGAATCTCATGATAATAAGCATCAACGTTACACCTGAATCTCATGATAATAAGCATCAACGTTACACCTGAATCTCATGATAATAAGCATCAACGTTACACCTGAATCTCATGATAATAAGCATCAACGTTACACCTGAATCTCATGATAATACGCATCAACGTTACACCTGAATCTCATGATAATACGCATCAACGTTACACCTGAATCTCATGATAATAAGCATCAACGTTACACCTGAATCTCATGATAATACGCATCAACGTTACACCTGAATCTCATGATAATACGCATCAACGTTACACCTGAATCTCATGATAATAAGCATCAACGTTACACCTGAATCTCATGATAATAAGCATCAACGTTACACCTGAATCTCATGACAATAAGCATCAACGTTACACCTGAATCTCATGATAATAAGCATCAACGTTACACCTGAATCTCATGATAATAAGCATCAACGTTACACCTGAATCTCATGATAATAAGCATCAACGTTACACCTGAATCTCATGATAATACGCATCAACGTTACACCTGAATCTCATGATAATAAGCATCAACGTTACACCTGAATCTCATGATAATAAGCATCAACGTTACACCTGAATCTCATGATAATAAGCATCAACGTTACACCTGAATCTCATGATAATAAGCATCAACGTTACACCTGAATCTCATGATAATAAGCATCAACGTTACACCTGAATCTCATGATAATAAGCATCAACGTTACACCTGAATCTCATGATAATAAGCATCAACGTTACACCTGAATCTCATGATAATAAGCATCAACGTTACACCTGAATCTCATGATAATAAGCATCAACGTTACACCTGAATCTCACGATAATAAGCATCAACGTTACACCTGAATCTCACGATAATAAGCATCAACGTTACACCTGAATCTCATGATAATAAGCATCAACGTTACACCTGAATCTCATGATAATAAGCATCAACGTTACACCTGAATCTCATGATAATAAGCATCAACGTTACACCTGAATCTCATGATAATAAGCATCAACGTTACACCTGAATCTCATGATAATAAGCATTTACTCAGAATTCAGACGTTTTATTTTCTCCAGTATCTTGTTGCCTAAAGAGTGAGGTATAAGTTGTCTTCTCGTTTCCTGTTGGTGGAAAAACCTTTATGACTTCATTTCTTCAGATTGCATCATCATTAGGACTAATATAGGAAATAAAACTTAATTTGATTTATTTTGTGTGCTTCATCTGCTCCTCACTGGAGACGATGGCTGAGAGATCAAATCCAAAGAACGTGGTAACTTTCACCAACTTAAATAAATCTTAGCTTCTTTTACTCTTTTATCAGCAAATATCCTTTTAGAAATCATTGTCACTATTTTCCATCCTGTTTAAATTTATTTTGTAACAGGCATTAAAATTAGAAGCTTTTTAACATTTTTGTTCATGTTATGAATAAAAAAATCTTATTCTAAAAAATGTTAACAACAAAAAAAATGCAGCTTCCTCTGCAGCTGGTCTTGTTTGTGGAACAACATTGAAAACTTATTTTGAGTTCCTTAATCCTAATAAAATAAACGCTATTTTGCACCATTAGATATTAAATTATCTTTTTTATTTCAGTTAAAGCCTGCATCACCCAGGCTCATGGCTTCACACCCAGTGTGTGTTTTTATTCCTGCTGCATGTATGAATGTGTTCCACCACTGCCTCTGCTCTGGGGAGAAGGTGAAGCCTCTTTTACTGTAACCTCCGACAGCACAGCCTCCAATTACAACCAAGAAAACCTAAATTATTCATTACAGACAAGGTTAATGGTGATAATTAACGTGCACGCGCCTGTGAGCGTAAGGAGACGCCGTCTCACTTTGCCGGTTTTTTTTTTAGTCAATACTGCATGACTGTTTAAACATGTTAAATAAAATATAATTAGTTCAAAAGCCCCGAAAGTGTCTGAGCAGTTCAGATCCGCAGGTCAGCCGAGGCCGAGCTGCAGGTGGGTTCAGCCCAAACACGCACGCGCATCAAAAAGGTTAATCAGCATCTTTAATGTAAATTATTTAAATGTGATTTAATTTCCCTTTGTGTGATCAAACGCGCGTTTGTAAATACAATGTCATTGTTCCAATATTTAAATGAATATAATAATAATAATAATAATAATAATAATAATAATAATAATAATAATAATAATAATCATAATCATCATAATAATAATAATAAATAATTTAGAATAAATTAAATGAACAGCAGCTGATAAGCCCTGAAGTGAAATTATATAAAAATGCGCACATGCAACACGGTTTTTCTATTTCTCAAATAAACACATTTTAAAACCTGCACAGTGCAAAGCTGCAGTTGAGGAAAAATAATCAAATCCTGCCAGTTTAGAACAAAAATAATCACTCAAAAAACAAAGAAAACTTAAATGTTCCGCGGTTGAAATTAGTCCACCAAACGGATTATTGCCTACAGCAGGACTTCAGGCTGGTACCAGCAGGGCTGTTTGGTGAAGCTGGGAGCCGCGCGCAGCTCCGTGCACCCAGCTCCTGCTGCTGCTGAGGCGGACTGGAGCTCTCCTGCAGACGCGCTCTCCCACCGCCTGCTCTGATTGGCTGCTCACACTGACAGCTCCGCACATGATTGCTGGACAACAAGCCCGACCCATTTCACCCTTCCAAAGGAACCATTCATAAACTACACAGATCCAGCTCAAAGCTGAGTGGACGGAAAGTGAGCTAGGGGGGCGCAGGAGCAGCATCGGGATGAGGGCGCGCGCACGGATGGTAAACCTGCATATGAATCTCCTCAGACACACTGGAAGTGCCCAGGAGTTGGACTGATACTTAGCAGGCTACTACTACGTTGCATCCCTATCCGTTTCCTCCTCCTCACACTGACGTCCATCCGCTGCTGAGGCAACAAAAAAAGAAAAAAAAGAAAACGAAGAAGAAGAAACTTTGCACATTTTTCCTGCACTGGAAGCTGTTGCCTCTGGCTTCACCGGTAAGCGTTGGATCCGTCAACTTACTGCGACTCTCCGGTGTACAGCCCGGACCTCTGCCCAAACATGATCGCGACGCAAGCAAAGCTGGTTTACCAGCTGAACAAATACTACAACGAGAGGTGCCAAGCGCGCAAAGCGGCCATTGCGAAGACCATAAGGGAGGTTTGCAAAGTGGTGTCGGATGTCCTTAAAGAGGTGGAGGTGCAGGAGCCTCGCTTTATCAGCTCCCTCAGTGAGATAGACGCGCGCTACGAGGGGATGGAGGTCATCTCCCCAAACGAGTTTGAGGTGGTGCTCTATCTCAACCAGATGGGGGTATTCAACTTCGTGGATGACGGCTCTCTGCCCGGCTGCGCGGTGCTGAAGCTGAGCGACGGCCGCAAAAGGAGCATGTCTCTGTGGGTCGAGTTCATCACCGCCTCCGGCTACCTCTCAGCCAGGAAGATACGCTCCAGGTTCCAGACCCTGGTGGCGCAGGCCGTGGACAAATGCAGCTACCGCGACGTGGTCAAGATGGTAGCAGACACCAGCGAGGTCAAATTACGCATCAGGGAGCGGTACGTGGTGCAGATCACCCCCGCCTTCAAGTGCACAGGAATCTGGCCTCGAAGCGCGGCGCAGTGGCCCATGCCTCACATCCCCTGGCCCGGTCCGAACCGGGTCGCAGAAGTCAAAGCTGAGGGCTTCAACCTCCTCTCCAAGGAGTGCTACTCCCTCACGGGGAAGCAGAGCTCGGCGGAGAGCGACGCCTGGGTGCTGCAGTTCAGCGAGGCCGAGAACCGGCTGCTGATGGGCGGCTGCAGGAAGAAGTGTCTGTCCGTGTTGAAGACTCTGAGGGACCGCCACCTGGAGCTGCCGGGACAGCCGCTCAACAACTACCACATGAAGACCCTGCTGCTGTACGAGTGCGAGAAACACCCGCGGGAGACGGACTGGGACGAGTCCTGCCTCGGAGACCGGCTCAACGGCATCCTGCTGCAGCTAATCTCGTGCCTGCAGTGCCGCAGATGTCCCCACTACTTCCTACCGAACTTGGACCTGTTTCAGGGAAAGCCTCACTCGGCCCTGGAGGCTGCTGCTAAGCAGACCTGGAGACTAGCGAGGGAAATCCTCACCAACGCCAAAAGCTTGGACAAATTATAAACTCACAGCAAGCTTCCAAAGACATTTTTGGGATAATTATTGAAAACTCCACCCGAGTCTCCAACAAATGTGAAGAAAAATAATCCAGAAATAAAAGTTTAAAAAGTAGCAACAAACGCAAAGCAAGCCTTTTTTAAATGGACCAATCGGGCCGCAGAGAGAAGTCCAGGTACATTTTCTGACACTTCCGTTGTCGTCTTCTTGAAATGTTTTCACAAAGTGAATAACTTTTTATTTAATTATGCACAGAAGAAATTGTAGCGTGCCAAGTTCGTTTTTCCATCATGTGACTTCAGATCAAATGTTAATAAAATGTTGAAAGTTAAATTAAAAATTGGCCTGGTTGCTTTCCACTGCAACATGAATAATAAGTCAGGGTTAAACGGGCCTACTGAACAGAAATGATGTGCAGCGAGATTAACCTGGTTAATCGGTTCACTTCCAGATTATACATTTCAGATTATCTGACAGCTCTGATGTTTATTTTTAAAAACCTGCAATAAAATGTGGACTTCATTCTAATAAGTAAACAAATGATTTCCTCTGCAGGTTTAAAACCACCTGCAGGTCTGAAACCTTGTTTACAACCATGCATCTGATTTTTTATACAATCCAAATGTTTCATCTGCAGGGCTTTTTATTATAAAACAGTTTTAAAATTTAAAGTTTCACAATTATAATATAATATAATATAAAAATACTGAATCAACAGTTTAATAACTCTAAAGTTGCAAATAACAATTTCTTATTCAGTTCAACAATTGCCAGAAGTTTGGACGAACTTGTGCGGTCAAACATTCATCCAAGCATTAGATCTCAGCTGGAGGTCTGAGCATGCTCAGTTTGAACCAGCAGGGTCAGAGCGGCTCCAAGGAGCTGCTTACCTTTGGGTCGATGGCCCTGAAGGCCGGATCGTCCTCATCCACCTCGAAGAAGAGCTCCGAGGCGCTGATAGACAGAGTGCCCTTCACCACCACGGCCGGGGCCACGAGCTGAGCGCTCGTGCTCAAGCTCACGGGTCCTGGAGGACACACACACACACACACACACACACACACACACACACACACACACACACACACACACACACACACACACACACACACACACACACACACACAGGCCAATTGATACACATTTTTATGTTTAAATATTAATATAATTTTTATATTATTATTATTAATTATTATCTCAAGCCTTTTCCCTTAAACATTTAATAAATCTGAATACAATCGCTGTGTTAAATCCACAGAACTGAAAAACGCGCAGTTACAGAACCAAACAGAACCAAACAGAACTGGAGTTGTGAGCTTTGGTGCATTCTCAGTATCGACTGTCCGTCAGATTTATTGATTGGAGGCTTTTGGGCGTAAGCAATTTCATCCCTCATCAATCTTAATTTATGCCAGTATGACAATGAGGCCTGCTTATGCCGCAGCCGGGCTGCTGGAGGAGTCTACCGGCGGAAGCTGCGCTCGCAGGAGGCGCGCTGCAGCCGCGGAGCTGCGGCCTCGGTCTCCCTGCGCAGCGTGACGCTCTCACGGAGAATAAACACAAGTATTTATCCTTCCGTCTCGAGCGCAGACATGTTATCAGAGGGCTGGATAACATTTTGTTCCGTTCATCCAAACACACGCAGATGTTTAGTGAGACGGACCTCTGCGCATTTATTTCCACATTATTAGACAAGACTCAGCGTTTAATCCGACAGGCGCCGTTTCAATAGCGCCATAAAGCCCTGTAACTGCAGCTTCCTCCGCTGCATCTCTGCGCACAAAATGCGGATTATAACGCAATCCGATTAAACTCGATTACAGTCAATAAAATAAACTATGGCGTGCAGTGATCATTATTAGGCTAATTGTATTTTAATAAAAACTCTGGAGATAATATTTTAATTAATTCTGTAGCTCAATAAACTAATGCAGACGGATCAATAAGAACAAAAAATAAAATTTGTTACATTTTAAGACAAACCTGCTGCTGTTGTACCTGCATGATTAACAATAAGACTAATTTCTATGTGCAACAATCACAATAGGATTACTAACATTTTTAGTAAAATGCGAATAAACTATTTTAAGAGTTCAAGCACACAGAAAAGGAACCAGAAGCTCCACATGGTGAAACCTGTCTTGTTTATGAATTAAATAAAATTACAAGTTAAATCACAAACTTCTAAATGCAGAAACCGGTGGAGGAGTGAGGATGGCAGAAGAGGCTTTATGGTTTTTGTTACCTGTTACGTTCTCCAGGTCCTTCTCCTCTAAAGATGACAGGGTGTCATCATCTCCGTCGAGTGACGTCTCACTCTCCGAGTTCTGATTTCCCAGAGCCGGACTCCTGATGGACTGCTGGCCTTTCAGAAGGTCCTCCTCAGGCGCTAGAAGAAGGAGTGATGCAGTAAAAACACACAAAGTTCCTCTAATGAAGCACGCGGACACACATATCGGGTTTGTTTTAATGTGTTTATTTGAGGAAATCTTTTGAAATCCTAAACAAAAATGAAACCAACACCATTAGAAATTCTGCCTTTATTTCTGAATTTAAACACACATTTTTACTCTGAAAAAGTCCCAAATCCTCATTTTACAGTGAGGCAGATTAAGAAGATTTGTTTTATTTGTAAGATTTTAATTTGTTAAATTAGGGACAAATTCAGCATCCTGAAGGGCGCATTTTTCATGTTTCCTACAGATATGAGCTAAATTAAAGACGTTTTTTTTTACTCCGTATTAATCTGAGGCCAGTTTGGCTCTAAAACTGAGCGACATCCATGCGGGCGACCCGAGATGTAATCCCACCCTTAAACCCAACTCTGCCTTTTATCCTGACACCAGTTCAGACAGAGATCATCTAAACACATCAGAACAAACGAGGGTCTCACACCCCTTTAGAGCTCAACTGAGCATGACTTCAGCTTCAACAAGAACTCTTTAAGTATAAAAGCTAATCTGCTAACATTTGAGGCGCTCCCAGCAATGTTTGGTCCGGATCCACGGATCAGCTGCTGGAGTCTTTCCTGTTTGTAAACAGCAGCGACAGAATCTCACATCCTGCTGAAGCAACGATATTTCCAACTGACTAAATCACCAAACTCGGATCCAGGGGTCTTTTTGCCATCACCTGAGCTTTTCTTTTTTGGGGGGGGGGGGGGGGGGGGGATCATCTGCTGGAGCCTAAAAAAATCTCTTGTCATGGAAAATATGCAGCTCACTGATATTTAGAATGGCCTTCCTGTAATTAAGCCTCCCTTGAGGATTCTTTAGTTAGCAGCACTGAAATTACTACCAGCTCCCCTAATAAGTACCACATGCCATTGTGTTCACAAGTGGACAGGGGACTCGTTAGATGAGCTCAAAACACAGATACACTCTGATGCACGCAGCAGCCAACGGCAGTCCTCAGTCCAGTGGTGAGTTGTAGCAACGCAGCTGCAGGATCTGAACCATACAGTCACGAATAATAAAACACGCACACATAGGCTGGCACTGCTAGACATAAAATGTTGAAGTTAAGTCTCGACAACTGGTTCCACTAAACCTAGTTGCTTCAGCGTAAAGAGTAAAATACACTGTAACTGGTTGTTATGTCAAAGTGACGATGTGTAGTTTTTACCATTACTCTCTGGAAAAATCCGCCAAATCATTTAAAGTTAAATAAATTTAATTGAATGAATATTGGCAGCTAACCATTAAAGTCGAAGCTAAAATATGTGGGAGTGGGTTTAAGTCTTGGGGCGACGCCATATTAGACACGATGGTTCCTTCTGGGAGCCCATGAGGACTAAATGGTAACAAAACGTTCACCATTCATAACGTTGTTTTACACATTTACCTCTGCACTCGCTGCCAGAGCTGAACGGGAGTCGGACGTGCTTGTTGTTTTGCCGGAGGTTGAGGGTTTTTTGGCCCTAATGGCCACCCGTTGGTGCAGGCTTACTTCAACACAAAATTACCGCTTGTTTGCAATGATTTAGTTATGTATTGACCCCCACCCCCCAATCGCCAGGGAAAATACACACTATCACTTTAAAGGTAAATGTATGTCAGTGTTTCATCGTTAGAGGCGAGGTGTAGAAAAACCAGCTGACATAACTTAGTTAAGTCAATTTAACATCCCATTTTTATATTGTAGGTAAACAGACTTCATGTAAATTCAAGTTTATTAAAGAAAATAAACACACATTTTTTATTTATTAACAGAAATATAAATATGACCTATGAACTGCTCACCGGGTTTTATTCTGAAGGATGGTGTTTGGTTTCTCTTCTCTTAAAATTCAACAACCTTGAGATTTTGAGGACATTGTGTGTGTGTGTGTGTGTGTGTGTGTGTGTGTGTGTGTGTGTGTGTGTGTGTGTGTGTGTGTGCGTGCGCCTGTGTGTGTGCGTGCGCCTGTGTGTGTGTGTGTGTGCGTGCGTGCATCTGTGTGTGTGTGTGTGTGTGTGTGTGCGTGCGTGCGTGCGTGCGTGTGTGTGTGTGTGTGTGTGTGTGTGTGTGTGTGTGTGTGTATGTGTGTGTGCGTGCGCCTGTGTGTGTGTGTGTGTGTGTGTGTGTCTGTGTGTGTGTGCGTCTGTGTGTGTGTGCGTCTGTGTGTGTGCGTCTGTGTGTGTGTGCGTCTGTGTGTGTGTGCGTCTGTGTGTGTGTGCGTCTGTGTGTGTGTGCGTCTGTGTGTGTGTGCGTCTGTGTGTGTGTGCGTCTGTGTGTGTGTGCGTCTGTGTGTGTGTGCGTCTGTGTGTGTGTGCGTCTGTGTGTGTGTGCGTCTGTGTGTGTGTGCGTCTGTGTGTGTGTGTGTCTGTGTGTGTGTGCGTCTGTGTGTGTGTGCGTCTGTGTGTGTGTGCGTCTGTGTGTGTGTGTGGCCGCGTTCAAGAGCTGGAGTCATAATAAGCATGCCACCTCGGGATGCTGACGTTCAGCTTTGGTGTACAAACATTAAATGGAGACTTTAGAGTGATCAGTGTGAGTCATGAATTTAATTAAAAAATAATCATTTCAAACTATAAAAATTAAATATGTAAAATATAAATTATTCTCCTCCATCATGAATGTGTTTGAATTAAAGCAAAATGAAGCATGAAAACATTTATGACAAAAACATTTTATCAACAGTGAACGTTGGCGTCACCACTCACCACAGAAGCAGCAGAAATGTGAACAAATCCCAACAGGTTACCCTTTTCTCCACAACACCCCCCCTCACCCACCCAACCGGGAGTCTCGACTACCTGCTTATACAACTGGAGACACGCATGGTCACAGCAATTAAATTGTCAGAATTAACAAATTAGATTTTAACGGGAGCGCAGCCAGGAGTGTGGTCATGAGGCGAGTATTGATGACCAGAACAGAGACATTAGTCTTCAGGTATTTACTCTGCCACCTCTGGTACACGGGCCCCATACCAGACCCAATCAATCCGCCCAGAAAAGATGGCTCTTTCCAGCCGTAAATACACAGCAGCCCACTGGCAGCCCCATTCCTTCCTGTGGAAACCATCCTGGCACGGTATGAATGATAACACTTCTCTATCTTTATTTAATGCACTTTTCCAGAAAATAAACACAAGGTTAGTTTGTTTCTCACCCATCACGATGGCGTAGAGTAAAAATAAAAAACTCCGTCACAAGGAGCCTGTAAATGAGGCGAAGGTCAGTCTTTACACTAAATATTTTCTTAGAGAGTGAAACTGTTTTTTTCCCTTCTGCATCTGATGAATATAATTACAGCCAGATATGACCTTTGTGCTCCGTGTGAAAACCCTATCCCGCATTTCCTTTTGAGCAGGACGTCCCTAACAAATGTCGGGTCGACTAAAACAAGACCAAAGGTTACGTCAGAGACGAGATGCCGTCAGGCTTCCATGTCGAGGAGCTATTTTAATGATGCATTCTCATAGTTTAGCCAGCCTTATAAAGTAGCACTGTCCCAACCGGCTGCTGGCTGTTTCTATACAGACGAGACCAGGAGGCCAAACGTGTTTGTTTGCTTCAGCCGTGGATGAATAAATACAGCAGATCAGCTCAAAGCCTTTTAAAATGGAACTCAGCACCAGAGCAACACCATCTCACAGGAGTCCCTCGGCACATTCTTCTCTAGTAAAAACTGACAACGACAGAAAAAAGCGTGATGGATGTTCCCCGTTATGACCGAGCTGAAGGGAAACATGGAGGAACTGAGATGGAAAGTGAAATTCCAAGCTTGGGAGCAGAAGAACAGCGAGCAGCTGGACTCGCGGCACAGCTGCAGCCATGCTGAAGCCATTCCTGCTGACCCCAGACGTCTCCCAGGATCCTGGGATCCCAAGTCTGATTGCTTTTAGATCGTACTCTTATTGACTCCCGTCACACCTGCTGCTCGGGAAAAGCGGACACAGTTAAGGGGACATTTGGAGGGGACACGTCGAGGACAATTCCCTCCCATTCTCTGAGCAGAGGGAGAATCGATGGCGCTGGTTAATGTAGGCCCAGCACGACAATGATTGCAGAAGCGGGTGTGTTGGAAGGTTCTGCAGACGAGAGGATCGGGTGCACTTCAGGAGAGGAATGCCACTCCTGGTGTTAATGGAGGGATTCGTTGGATATTGTTGCTCGTTTGGGAATGCTGGAAATGTACTTGGCTCTTCCAGTAAAGTTACTGAAAATAATCACAAAACTGAAAAAAATAGATCACCAAGGATTGGAATTTTAAAATAATAAAAAGAATTCAAAGTTTGGATTAAAAATATTTTCTTTTAGAATTTTAACTGAATTTTAACTCATTACAAATCTAGTTGGTTTAGCTTGATTTGTGCTCCTCATTGTTAGCACCAATCACAGAACTCTTATTATATTTAATTCTATTGTAAAAAATACCCCCCCCCCCCGATCATTTAGAAGTAAAGGATGTGATCTCTACTTAATACTGATGCAGCCACTGGTATCAGGGCAATAATAAAAGGATGGACGCTTTAATAACTAATAATTCAGCTACAGATAGGGAGAATAAAACACAACCAGTGTTTAATACGAGTTAGCGTAGCGGGTCATGGTATGAAGTTCTAAATTTGAAGTGGTGTGATTTTACGACCTGTTGTGGTTCAATAAATCTTTTACTGCAACAAGAGGACTAATGTTTATTGCCTTGTACCTGGTGGAACGTGGATTTGAATTAAAGGGGCGGCGGTACGGGACTGACCGTGCTCAGCCGCCGCTTTGAGCGTAGCTTCTGAGTGACTCGATCCGAAGGGGTTCCTGATGAAGCGACGTCGCCTCCTTAAATCGTCCTCCCAGTAGTCCAGGCGCCAGAAATCCCTCGGCCGGCTGCAGCGAGACAGAGGTAGCACATGTGTTAGCAATTACCAGTCAGCGTGGTGTAGCAGCCCAGCATTAGCACTTGGTCCGAGAGAGCGTAACATAAAGCCTGCATTGTGTTTGGGCCGTTTGGTTTTTTATGACCTTCACAAGCACATTTAAAAACATCGACTGTACACACGCTGAGACCGAACACCGCCCCCCCTGCTCTTGACAATGACTTGATCTCCAGCCCTCTGAGGTAGAGGTGTTTCCTGTTTGCCCCCCTTTGTGTTTGTGAGGAGGTGAAGAGAGTGAGAGAGTGCCATCACAGTCGAGTGAACACATGACACCACGATCACTTTCCACAGACATTTGTGGCACGTGCTTCCATTCTGGGCTCATTTCAAGCCCAGCAGGGTGCCTCTTGTCAGGACTCAAGGCTAGCGGGATAAGAAGGCTATTACCAAAGTGTGTGTGTGTGCGTGTGCGTGTGCGTGTGGGTGTGTGTGTGTGTGTGTGTGTGTGTGTGTGTGTGTGTTTGGGGTAGCATTACCAATATTAGTCAATGTCCATACACCACATTCCCATCTCCAGTTTACTTCTCCTTTTACCACAGCTGATCATCATCACAGTTTCACAGAAATAAGATCTGTATCTTTTAGTGTGTGTGTGTGTGTGTGCGCGTGGTGGAGCCACCGATGTCAGCTTGAATGTTGTAAAGTATTGAACTAAACTACTATTGAACAAATGTACTTTATACAGTTCAAAGGCCTGAAATGCAACACTTGATTTTTTCAGTTTTATGAGTAAATTCATAGTTTTGCTTTTATTTAAACGACATGAATCCTTGTGTGCAGTGAGTCACAGCTTTAAATTACAAATTATATTTACGGTTGCTCGCTACGCTTCGATTAGATTTCTATCATTGCACGTGCACATTTACCACGTGCATGCTGTTATATTTTTTAATCCGTGTAGTTTCTGGTACTGACGTGCGGGTGGCAGCCATCAGGAGCATAATCTCACATTTTCACCTCTGTGATCAGTTGTTTGATCCACGCCTTTGAAGTGTCTCTTTGCAGGACTTGTCAGAGTTAGTCAGACAGCAGGTGATGGGAAGAGTGCTTACTTTGCTTTGGGAGAATCTGAGTAAGCTGTTTAAGAAAGACAAGTTTATGGTTTATGGAATCCTCTTCTTACACGTGAAGGTTAACATCAGCAAACTAAATACGCCCAATAAAAGGTGCAAAATAACAAGTTACTAATCCTGACACAAGTCAGCGAGGTGGGAAAATCTGGGATTAAACAATTAATAGGCTGAATATAAAAGCCCTTAAGTGGCTGCAGTGCATCCTGGGAAGGCGAACCTTGTAGTTTACGGTTTCAGTGGCACCCCAGCGTGCTTTATGTGATGTGCTCAAGAACGCCGCTCTGGCCGGGAGCTGCTCACAAATCTTCAGTCCAACACCAATGATCACGTAGGGGCCTCTAAAGGGGAAAGGAGCTTTCCACCAGAAAATAAACACAATTACCAAGCGGGTCCTTTAGAAACCCGGAATGCTCCGGCTAATAAAGGCACGGGACTGCTTGCTGTTTCTCAGTGAGGGAAAAATATAACTGCATTTTAAAAAGTTGGCCAAACGGTGAAAAAGCAAACATTCTGAGAACGACTAGAGTGAAATCATGGTCTGCAAGTCAAATGTAGGATGAGAGGACACCGTGGACAAACTTCTGTGTGGGACCAACTATCTGTCCACTGACACAGGCTGTGCTTTATGTTCACGTGTGATAGTCTCTTATGCAAATGGACCCTTCATCATCCTGCCTGGCACCACATTTATTCATCAAGAAGAAGAATTATCAAGTTGGTGCACGACGCATGGCTCAGAGTCAGGATGCACCTGTCCCTCGTCCCGCGGAAGGTGAGGAACTGTCCAACCCTCACAATGCACAATAATCCATCAGAGAGTACCATCGTGTGGAGTAATTAGTTGCAGCATGGGTGAGGAGGTGATGGGGGGGGGGGGGGGGGGGGATCCTGCTCACCATGAACAGCGAGTCCTAATGATGAGGTGCAAGAGAGGGTGGACGATGACGGTGGCGAGAGGCATCTCCTCATCAATCCCTGATGAGGGGTTGCCATAAAAAGACAGTGCAGTGCTATGCAACCCCCGTGCTGTGCGGAGTGTGTTTCCACAAAGACGATAAATTATTCAGAGCCCATCCATCCTCCCAGGGCATCCGTGGTAGAATTTACTGAAGCACTATTCTTCTAAATAACAATAAAAATAACAAAAGGGCCAGTGTTGTGCTACGGCTCACACCAGCCACTTGTGTAATTAGTAATTAGTTCAGTCATAAAAGGCGTCTGCAAGGCCCGCTCGATGAGCTCGGACTGAACGGGGAGTAAGGAACCGCAGAAACGAGAGGAACTAGGAGCTTTCCTCGTGCCGTTCCATAAAAAGCAACGAAGCTTTACAAAAACCTTCTAATGTGGACCACATTGGCTCCTGATGAAACAAACCCAGAGGAGCTTTGTGCGAGGTAGTAAATACTGATTAGTGTTTTTCCTTCTCATCCTATGGATGCTCTTTAGGACCTTGCTGCTGTACATCTGAAGAAGTTTACCAACAGAGACCGGGAATCCCGAGAGCCTATATTTCATTGTATGTGGGCGGGCGAGACGCACCTCCTCCTTCACTAGTAAAAACATGTTTACATCTACAGATCAACAGTTACACGTCCAGAAAGAGGTCCGTCATGGTTAAGTACTTGTTTGAACTGGGAGATTTGCACATTAAGTTGAGCGCAATTTCACAAATCATGAAATACAAATAAGCGATCAGTGTGACTCAAGTCCGAAGTGCAGAAGTACTCTTTAAAGGCCGCTGTCGTGTGTTCACGCAGGCAGCAGATACAATGATCCCGACTTTGACCTGATCGTTGACCCATCTACGTCGTCTTCTTGTGTTTACCGTTCAGATAAGAGAGTTCCACACCTTGTTTCTGTTTTCTACGCGATTCTCAGGGCAGTGCTACCAGAACAAGCCATTTACTTTACTGGGACTTTTTGGCTCCTTTTCGGTGTTTTCCTGTAGAAGAAGACATTTCTAGAAGCAACAAATATATTTATAGAAGCAGCAAACAAAAAGTGTGTTGGAACAATCTAAGAGGTCATTTGCTAAATCAGATGAAGCCATTTTTGATCGAAATCACCAAACTCTAGGTTGATGGATCAGAGCTGAAGAGAACAATAAAAAGAAGCGTTTTCTGTAAAGTTATCCATCTTCCACTGCTTCAAAGGCACAGCGATCTTTAAATGCTCTTTTAAGTATTAGTCAATACATTTCATGGCTCTGATCTCACCGTCGTAAGAATATAATCACATTTCTTTTATTATATTACTTTATTTTAATTTTCATACTGGTTTTGTTAAGCTTCAGTCACTAAAACACATTACAGCCGATTCCAGTCGTTACTCCTGAAGAGGTCATTATAGTGTTTATGCACTAATCAGTCATTATTTAGGCAGAAATAAAACAAACAGACCCGTGGAACAGCCTGCTGGAGAACGTCGGGCCAGCACAGATGTTGATATTTTAAAAAGCATACTTAGCTACTTTTTCATTTAAAAAAATCATTTTCTGGAGCCAGTGTGTGCTAAAATGACCCTCACCACCCTCTGGTCAGAATATCGCACTTGCAACTTTAGAGTGTCAATCTGGTCCCTGCTGGACTTAATAAAAGTGGAACAGACATACCTGGCACTGCAGTCTGCTTCCAGCACATTTCCTGCATGCTTTAGATCATGAACACAGCTGATTGGTTTAATTTAGTGATGAATGAATCCTGTAGACACTAAGGAAGGCTGAGGAGATGTTTCAGCTTTCAGATTAAAGTGTTAAAAGATAACACACAGCGAGGAGATAAGTTTCACTTTTGCCTTCGCTAATGGACACTAGAGGGTGCTAAAAGCAAGCCAAAACTCCCTAACACCTACCTTTTTACTTGGCTGTTAATCTATTTTCACTGAATCTACATATGCATTTTTATGGAGACCATTCATTTTATTTTCTCATTTTTATTCATTCTTTTAATTGTTTTGCACGGGGACTGCCCTGGTCTTTATGGGTGCATGCTGTGTGAGCGTGCACGAGTGCATGAGTAACTTTTAAAGTTTATATGTTTAATTTTACAGCGGTGTAGGCTTTTTCAGAGTCTTCATGTATCGTAGATCTTATTTTGCAAAGCACTTTGTGCCGACTATCGTGAAAAGTCCTTTCGAAATAAACTGATTTAACACTAGCCGACTGATACAGTTCATACTGGCTTAAAGCAATATTATATTATTTAAAGCAATATATTTAAAGCGATTGCTTTCAAACTGGTTTTAGTGTTTTTGGAGCCAGAAACTCATACAACTTCTTAGAGGACAGCACTCAGTAGTCCTCTGCTGCCAAAAACTGCACCTAATAGTTTTGTGGTTTGGGTAGGAACACGAGTGGGAGGTCTCAACCTGCTTTATGGCAATAGGTATTTACTGTGCTGGTAGCTTGTGTAAAGGCTAACAGTTCATTTTTTTAAGTTTGCCAACTGTCAAACACACAAGAAGAATTTTGCTTTATTTGTTGGCATCAAAGTGAAAGTAAGAGAGTAATGTATGTGTGGTGAAGCAACAAGCTAAAACCAAAACGTCGGCATGGCCTACACCACACGTGTCAGACACAAGGCCCGCGGGCCAGATGTGGCCCACAAGATAAATATCAAAAAAATATATTAAAACTGACCCGCTGGCCGATTTTAGCGCTAAGACAACAACTCCCATGATGTTTTGCGGCGTTAGCGTGGAGCCGAAGCGCCCCCTGCTTTGAGTTTTTTTTTTCCAGTGTCTGCTGCCGGTGTCTGCAGCTCCGCTGACTCGGACAAACTAAACACTCCTCTCACTCAGCGCTAGGGGTGCAATGGATCAAAAAACCCACGGTTCGGATCGTATCACGGTTTTGAGTCACGGATCGGATCATTCCATC